CCCCCCCCTTTTATCCTCACCTGAGGAAATGCGGGTTTTTTTTAGGGAGAGAGACAGAGATAGACAGAGACAGAGACAGAGACACAGATCGGTTACCTCTCTTGTATGCGTCCCAACTGGGGACTGAACCTGAAACCTTTTGGTGCATGGTACGATGCTCCAACCAGCTGAGTCACACCGGCCAGGGCCCTCAAAGCCCTTTTAAACTCAATATTTCTCTGAGGTTTTTTTATTCTGTTTCTGGCATTTATGCTTTATTAGAGAAAGAAGAAAGCCTGTGTCACAGACCAGGTGTGGTGAGGGACACCTTACACAATAGGGGTATTGTGTAGGTCAAAGCATTAATTCAGCCATGGTTACTGTTCACATTAAGGCACTGCTTATAATAATGTGAGGGTAATGACACCAGGTACCAATCATTGAGGGTTTATTACATGCCAAACACTATGTGTAGCACTTTACATGAACTACTAAATTAATTCTCACTGATAAATATTGTCGTTATATTTCCATTTGCAGACAAGTAAATGGAGGTTTAGAATATTGAAGTAACTTGCCCAAGGTTGCACAGTTAATACTTTGCAGAGCCAAGACACTAACTCTGGCCGCCTGATTTCAGACCTGTGCTTGTCACCGCTGTATTTGGGCAATAGCCAGGTGGGCCAAACTGTCTGAAGTCAAATTCTAACTCTGCTACTGGGGATCTTGGGTAAGTTACTTAACCTGCCATCCCTGTTTTATCATCTTTAAAATGGGGCTAATTGTGGCACCTACCTTAGAAGGTCGCTATGGTGATTAAATGACTTTACTAGGCGGTGTGCTTGGAAGAGCATCTGGAGGTAGTGAACTCTATATAAATGTTTGCTGTTATCATCATCATCATCTTCATCTATATTGTACCAGCCATGGGGGGCAAGGCTGTGCTAGCAGAAGCAACAATAGCTAGTGCAAACATCTGAAGTGGCACTGTATGTTTGGGCAAAGACAGAGAGTCTGGTATATTTGTACCACCAACTGTAAGTGGGGAAAGAGGCCCGGCAGGTATGCTGGAGGCAGGCCGTGAAGGACTGTGGGTGCCCGGCTCCTGCCCGGATGGTGCATCTGGCAGGCCATGGGAGCCTTCAAAGGAGTAGGCGTGTTAACATACTTCTGTGCTTCGTTCTTGCTCAGGGGTGTTCCGAGGGTGTGACATTCTCCTCATCTACAGCCCGGACGCTGAGGAATGGTGCCAGTACCTCCAGGACCTCTTCCTGTCCAGTCGGCAGGTCCGCAGCCAGAAGACGCTGACTTACCGGCTGGGCCCCCAGGCCTCGTTCTCGGCCGAGGACCTGACCTTCTTCCTGAGCACGCGCTGCATCGTGGTGCTGCTGTCCGCAGAGCTGGTGCAGCACCTCAGCCGGCCGGCGCAGCGGCCCCTGCTGCAGAGGGCCTTCCACCCCCCGCACCGCATGGTCCGGCTGCTCTGCGGGGTGCAGGACAGCAAGGACTTCCTGGACTTCTTCCCAGACTGGGCGCACTGGCAGGAGCTCACCTGTGACGACGAGCCCGAGACGTACGTGGCGGCTGTGAGGAAGGCCATTTCCGAAGGTAAGGGGCTCTTCTGAAGTAAAGGTGAGCAGGCCCTAGAAAAGTGACCAACTCTGCCCCGGCCGGGTGGCTCGGTCGGTTGGAGCATTGTCCTGTACACTGAAAACGTTGCGGTTTGATTCCTGGTAGGGTATGTACAGGAGGCAGCAGATCAGTGTTTCTCTCTCTCTCCCTCTCCCTCTCTTTCTCTTTCTCTCAAACCAATAAAACATATCCTCAGGTGAGGATTTAAAAAAAAGACCCAGGCCCTAGGCATTCCGGGTGAGACATTGTCACATCGACACTAGTCATTTATATTACAAAATGAACCTGGACCTCGCTATATTAAAAGCCCCAGTTATATTTATTGGTGTAAAGCAGCCTATTCCTGGGATGGGACAGGATAGGTCTTGTGAACTGTAGGAGAGGAAAACACCACTTTCCTTGCTGTCCTGCACCCTGCAGAGCAGGGTTTTGTGTTAGGACGAAAGGCTTTCTAGAATTTTCTACACCTTGAAAGGTGCAGGACATAGGTTTCAGCGTCGTAGAGGGCAGTGGGGGTGTGAGGAACAAGACTGCCAACTGTCCTGCTTGCAAACCATTTCCATTTTACCATCACATGACTGTAAGCTTTTTGGTGAAAAGTTGTCACTTTTGGATCACATATTTATAGAGAAACACCCCTCTGTTTCCCGCCAGCCTAGCTTCTGATTTTTGCCATTTCTCCTTTTAAAGAGGAAAAATTCCAATCCTCTCTGCCAGGGCTAATGCCTTTAGTGGCCCCAGGAAGTATGACATACACGCTGATGAACAGTAACGGAAGATGTGCTCTTGGATGCGTACATGTCACAGCTTTTCTTCCTCTTTCTGTTTTCTGTTTTTGCTTCACTGTGGGCCATGAGTAGGCTATGTGTTTTCTTCTGTTCTCTTGCCATTTAAGATCTTATATACCTGGTGCCAGCAAAGAAGCCTGGAAAATTACGGAGTGATGTAACTATGCTCAATTATCCCTGGTGGCACTTGGGCATTAATCTGGTTCATTCACCCCTGTCTCATGTAATGAACAGAGTCAAGAATTCACAAATGTTTAGTCACCTTAAAAAGCTACTATAGCTTCCTAGATGCCTTTATATAAGAAATAGGCTGCTTTAAACCAATGAATACGAGCAGGTCATGGAATACAGTGGGATCCCAGCTCCTTTTGTAATATAAATGACTAGTGTTAGTCTAAAGATCTCACCTGCCATGCTTGGGACCCAGATTAGTAATTTTTCCTGGGTTTGCTTCTTTTTCCTTCAGAAGGACACGATGATAGAAAAAGTGCACAATTTATACTTGCTTGGCCGCACTTCATTACATTGAGGGAGTTGTGATCTGCCTGAATTTACAAAGAACTGAGACACAACTGGTTGTTTCTGTGGATTAGTTTATGTCACTGCAACGGTTCATTATGATCTTGTGGGCTGGCCACTGGGACCCACCCACCAGTCATTCAGAGCTCCATGGATGAATTGTCACTGTACTGGCACCTCGTGCTGTGTGCTCTAACAGATTTTTCTTTAAAACATTACAGTGGTATTATTTTAAAAAAGAGATGGCAAAAGGGATTTTTAAAATATTGTTTGGAGTGTTCACTTTGGCAGCACATATACTAAAATATTGTTTGTATGTATCCCATGTTTAGATGCCTGGATAAATGGATCGCCTAAGATACCTTTTTACTAACAAGTCTGGCTTGAGCCTTTAGGTCTGCTATGAGCCTTTAGTTTCAAGTGCTTCAGAAAGAATGAAGTGTTTCAGAGTGGTGTTTCTGTTCTGAGAGCGAATAGCCTTTCATCAGAAAGATTATTTTAATGGGAGATTAAAATAAGCTGCTTAGTGGAAAATCGCTGCAGGTCAGAATCAGTGGATACGTAGGAACGAATGGAATCCTAGGAAAGAGAGGAGGAGGGAGGATGGCTCATGGCTTCAGTACAGCTTTCTTGTCTGGTATTAGATCTGTGAATTTGGGGGCTTGAGCTCTCTGTGTGTAACAGGATGGCTTGGATTTGCTTTTGGGATATCCATAGCCATTGCCCTCGGTCGGCCCAGTTATGTGTTATAGCTCTGATTTTTATGCTAGACAAGCTTTCTTAATAAGCTTAAAACTCAGAGTCTGGCAGTGTAGCAAAAAGACCTTTGAACTGCAGTAGGGACACTCCATTGCCTGGCTCTGCTGCTAACTAGGTGCCCAGTATTGGGCAAGCCACTTAGCTTCTTTGGGTTTCACTTTCCTTCTCTGTAAGAGGCGGAATTAGACTTGAGCTAAGACACTTTCCAGGGCTAGTAGTCTACAACTCTCCTGGGCCAGCCAGAGATTCTCAAATATTTTCTAAGCACCACCTTCTTGCCCTATTTCATACCTGCTTTGACTCCCAGGAAGCTTCAGGCTAAAAGAATATTTAAGGACAGTACTATCCTGACACTGGGTGTCTGGTATAATTGTGTCCTTGGTTACATTCTCTATAACTTGTGATAGTTTATTTCAGTGCTCCTCTTGTACCCATGAGGTTTTCCTAAGTTAATTAAAAAAAAGGAAAAAATAAAAATTTTATACACCCCATTATTATAAGCTGCCCCAGGCCTATGAGAAAGAAATACATGAAACTAGTTTCTTTGACTTTGCACATTTTTAAAAAAAAACTCCCAGTGGGAAATATCATGAAAACTTGATAATGGGAATAAACTAATGGTGGGGACAATAATCATGGGGTTACTGATTGTAGGGCTTTTGAAAGCTATGGGGAGAAAAATTTCAGGAAAACTTAGAATCAGTTAGAGCATGCAAAGATGGAGTGGGTGGGCTTTGGAGGTGGTGAAGCTCCCAGAATATTTATATATTTTTTCTTAACTTTGAGATACTTTGTGAAAAAACATGACTATTTAATAAGATACTCACTGGGACCATTTAAAATTTAAAATAAGGCTTCAAGATCAAAAGCTTTAGAGAGTAGAGCTGGTAATGGAGGTAATTATTCCAGAAACAGGTTAAATATAGTTATAGGTCATCGATTATACTTTCTCTTGCTGCTGTGTTATCTAAATAAGTGTTTCTCAAACTCGACTGTGTTCAGGAGGCCCTGAGGATCTTGAACTATGTATATTCTGACTCTGTAGGTCTGGGTGGGGCCCAAGATTCTGCATTTCTAACGAACAACCAGGTGATGCTGCTGCTGCTGGGCAGGGGTCCACAATGAACAAGCGTCTAAGCCACCCTTCCTTTGTGAGGTCAGTGGTCACGTACCTGTGTTGTGCATGGACCTTTTTCTCACTTTTTTGAAAATGGAGGTACCATCCCATCAGGGTGACTCTTGGACACCCATCAGTTTTGGTATAAAATTAGGCCAGTGTTGGTGCTTAGGCCCACAGATTTCAGTGTAGAGCTCCTGGGTTCTCTTCCTGTGCCCCTACTCGCAGATTCCATGAGTTGGCTCTGGCAACTTTTAATCTCTTAGTTTTCCAGATGTAAGTAAGTGGTCCTGATATTGGAGTGGGGGTATACATTCATCATGATCCTTACAGCCTCTTCATTTAATAGGCCTGTAGGTCATAACTACTATTTCACTAACAAATGTTTTAGAGGTTTTATTTTCCACCGCCCCCCTCCAAATTTATCAGCTACCTTAAAATCGAGCAGATGTTTTAATTAGAGACTTCTGTGTGTTGGAGCAGACAGTTTATTTCTCGAGATCTTCATCTGTGAAACGGTGGGTTGGACCAGATGATTTGGAAGGTTGCTTCCAGCCCCCAGTGCTATAATATATCATTATAACTTTCTTAAGCAATACCCAGAAGCTTTCATTGATCTGTAGGGATATATATCCAGTGCGTAGAAGACTGTGCTATTGTTCTGAAATTTTTTGACTTGTTGGGTGATTGTTTTAAAAGAAGGAAGTGAGAAAAACCCAGTTACAGCACAGAAATTATTTCCTCTTTACTGGAACTCTATTCTTTGCTGCAAATTGCACTGGAATACAAAAATAGATTCTGTTAGCCTTTGTGGGAAAGGACTTGGTGGGTGATATTGAGTTTTATTTCAAAAGTTCTCATTGTGTGTGCGCGCGCGCACATCTGTGTCTATGTTTATGTTTGTGTATGTTGAGGGGAAGGGAAGCACTAAACTTAATTCTTTTAATATTATTCAGTATTACACTAAAGACCTTGTCTGCTTCTTTATATGAATTATTTTCTCTTTGCCTCCCCCATCCTTCCTCATACCCTTTGTGCTTCAGAAATTCTGATGCTACCCCAAATCATAATGCATTTGCCTTATGTTTCTATGGGGAAAATTTAGAGGAATATGCCCATATCTTGCCTTCCTCTATTGATATTAATGTTCTAATCTGAATGTTAAACTGGAGTTTAAAAGAAAAACAATTGAGATATTTAAAAATGCTTTTAGGTAATCCATGGATTCCAAAATCTTTCCCTAAATTTAAAAAGGAACATTTTTTTTTTCTGAAATAAAGTCATATATGTTCATCATAATGTTTTAAAAAAGAAAAAGATACCTTTAGGTTATTTCCGTTTTTTTCTTTTGTAAATAATGTTGCAGTAAATCCTCATGCAGCTTTGTGCCTAAATCTTTGTGAATCTGTGTTGATTTCCTTCCAACCATATTTCTGTAGCCTCCCAGACACAGGATTGCCCACCTGCTCTGTGCATCTCCCCACCCTCCCCATATGACCTGAATCCATGGCCCCCCTTCCTACAGTTTTTTGTTGTTGCAGTTTACTTCATTTTTCCTTTCCCTTTATGCCTAAGTCAATTATGCGCATTTACTGTATTTCTTGCATAGATTCTCATATGGAGAACAGCCCTGCACCCATCTTTCCCTTCACAGAGATAGCTACTAATGAGTTAAATGCTCTTATGATAGTTACTATGAGTAATACATTGAGCACTGCATGTGCATTTATTCCCCCCACAACCCCGGATGGGCAGATGGTTTTACCACCATTCCACAGAAGAGGAAACTGAGG